CGTTTTATGTGCAATTAGAAGATGACATTCTCGCCAAGCGTGGATTTGTTACAATTATGAAAAACTTTGCGTTGGATAAAACGGTGCGCAAGGAACCATGGTTCGTTTTAGATTTTTGCCAGCTTGGATTTATCGGTGAGAACTTATTTTTTTTTTTTTTCATTATGTTGATTTCGCGAATCGCCGCGTACAAAATTTATATAATAAACATTTCCAATGTGATTTAATTCCAGGCAAAATGTTTAAATCGGCTGAACTTCCGTGGTTGATCACATTCTTTCAAATGTTCTACAACGATAAGCCGGTCGATTGGCTACTGGAACATTTGATTTATACAAAAGTTTGCAACTGGGAAAAGGATCAGGTATATAATGATCAATTTTCAATTATTGCCAATTGTCATCATTCTGTTCTATGTTCTACAATCAAATCCTTTTTAATTTATTTAACAAATGATTTTGTTGAAGTTACTTTTTGAAGAAAAAAAATAAATACAATAGAAAATCAGTCGCTCAATAATTTGATATGGATGATTTTTCTTCTACATTTTCAAACAAAAAAGAAACATTGCAAATTGGAAAAAGCAAAGTTATGGCTGCATTACAAGCCATCGCTGTTCCAGCATATCGGAACGACCTCATCTTTACGTGGCAAAGTGCAAAAATTGAAAGACAAACAATTTGGTAAAATTCCGTCATTTTATCCGCATTCGAATCCATCAGCCACCGTAAAAAGTCCAATAAATCCGTATAAAAGTCATACATTGAACCGTGCATACTTGGGTGAGACATTTTTCTGGGGTCTCTTGCCGCAGCCAGGCGACTTGGTTGAATTTATTTTTCATCAGCCCTATAATTTAAGAAGGTATGTCCAGACATTTTTTCCCCACAAAATTTATGATAATTAATTTCACTGTAGAATATTTAGTCCAATGAATAATTAATTTTTTTCGATTTGCCCTAAAAGATATCTATTTCGAAGTGGTAATAGTGAGCATCCATCGGACTGCTTCAAACAGAACACAACTGTTGAAATTTTGCCAGCATCATTGCCAGAAAATTCATATATATGGTAAAATAGTTTGACAATCAATAGCTCAACGCGAAATTTATTCAAGTGTTCCACATCTGTTTCATTTTTCAGGAGTGCCTATAATTTAACGACCGACGGATTCCTAATCGTTGGATGCTTTAATGAATTTGGTATCGCTGAAGGAGTAATCGATGCGAAAATCGGAAAAATTAGAGAAATTCGATTGCATGTGCACACGGATAGCGAAAATTGGGCCATTCTTAGCGAAGTGAGTGAATCTCGGATGTTTTTTTTTTTTTTCGTGAAAATGAAAATTATAATGAATAATAATAAATCGAAACATTTATTTATAAAAATTGTATCTCCCTATTTAAAATAGATTCACCTACAAGATACAGCAGCGTGATGATTTTTCTGAATTATTCATGTTGAATTTAGCATAATATTGTCATAAACTTAAACATCTGGCTGGACAAGTTCTTGCTTATTAGGTATTCGACCAATTGCGGTGCGAATTTTGCACAATATCGCCTGAGCCAAACATCTTTAAAACTGAACGCATTTTGTTATTTGGCGACACGTTGATGGAACACATAAACAGGATTTACAAGCTATATATAAATTACTATGTATTAAACGAAAAAAAAAACCAAACTGTGATATAAATATTACACACATGAGAGAAAAGAATTGAGAATTTGTTCATTTTAATTGTATGAATTTATATCATTTAGTTGTTAAGAAATAATTTTTTATTTAATTGATGCGTATCCTCAACGAGAAATGCTAGACAATTAAATTATTCATTTTAATTTTTCAATTTTGTAAATAGAAACAAAATATCGAAAAGAAGAAATAGCAAAAAAGACAAACATACGTTTACCGATGGCTCAGCATCTCAGCAAGTCACTGTATAAGTGGCGTGCGTTGATGTGCACAGCTACATCGACTACACACAAACAGAGCGTTTTACACACAAACAGAGAGCGCAGTGTTTGGGTGTAATCGATGTAGCTATGCTCGGATATATCCGCAGATACGAAATGCTGAGATGCTGAGCCATCGGTAAATGTATGTTTGAAAAAATACGACGAAAATATAAATTTAACACTATGACTGTTCTTGGGGCATCCTGGGCTCCCAGCGAACTTTAAAGTTGAATAAGAGTACTGAACAGTGTATAAACCAACCGAAGTTAAGTCTCATTGTATAGATTGAACAATTCTCTACACGAATGACATATACACATATGCATATGTGTGAGTATGTGTAAAATACAGCCTGTCGCATAACATATTACGCTGTTGTTCTTGAAGGACTACAGGGCCCTATGGCTATTTTATATTATAACTGGACTATGATAAGAGATATCGACTTAGTGTCTTCGGCAAAGTTGTAGCGCTCCACAACTTTGCCCAAGACATCATATCGTTATCTCTTATCAGTTACGCGGAATACGCGAGAAACCGCAGAAAACCGTGAAACACGCGAATTTTTTGTCATCATTTTTTCGCGTAACTGATAAGAGATAACGACTTGGTATCTGTGGCAAAGTTGTAATACTCGACCTGCTCTACATTGACTGTCGAAGAGGCAAGTCTCTTACTTCTTATCAGCTTCACTAAAAAAGAGGTGGGAAAATTTCGCGATTTTCGCGATTTTTAGCGTTTTTTCGCGGAAATGATAAGAGATAAGCATATTTGTTGCAGCAAAATTATAGCAAACCTCGAGTATTACAACTTTGCCTCAGACACTAATTTGTTATCTCTTATCACAGTTCAGATTTCATATGAAGTACATAGCCTGTAGTCCCCCAAGAACAAAAATAGGTATAAAATATGATGAACAGTCATAGTGTTAATTGAACAATCCATTTTATGTTGAAAAAAAAAAATGGTGTGAACTCTGGTACTTACGCTTACTTAAATATTCTTTTCAAAACAACTACAATACAATGCTCATATGTGATCAATGGCTAATATCGATATAATATTCAATCAAATGGCTTCAACAAAAAAGTTCCATGGCCTGAGCCAAATATACAAAGAAGATTATTGTAACGATTTAGTTCGGAAAGACATTGAACAAACATTTATGAAATAACACAGAACCATTTTATTCAAAACAAGCGTGCTCAGTGCTCGCTGCTCAAAGACATTTGCCCGCAGTTTTTTTTTTTACTTCAATGTCTAATGATATTATTTCCTCTTATCCCAGTTCACACTCAAAACCAAGTCAACATCAGAGGAAAACACAAAAAATTGACTCAACAATCACCACCGATCAAATCGGTTTCTATGTTTTTTTTTTCGATCGACATTCAACATATTTTAGCCATAAAAAATTGATGATACAGTTTCTTCTGTCTAAAATGAAATAATATGAAATTCAAACGAACTTGGTGTTTAAAACAAATCAAACACAGAATCACATCAAAACCATTTTGAAGAAATTCCTATGAGCATGGTTGTGCCAAAATGAAAGTGTTGCTTTGTGTCAAACAAAAGAAAGAAATACGTTAAGAAATCGCTTGAGTTTTGGAAGTCGTTGTTGATGAAAACCAACATACGTTTTCGGAAAACTAAACGGCAGAGATAATAGCATGCACGGATTATATGCAGTATATCGACGCCGCATATTATTAAACAAGTAGACAAAAAAATACACTCATACAAGTCGTGCATAGACGGCAGCACGCACAGCAAAGTACGTCTAGATCAAATTCTGTCCTATTGTAAAATTTGGTCTCATTCAAATAGGCAGTAGATACATACTATTAGCTCAAACTGAAATTCAATCATGGCAAATTACAACAATTGGTAATGTAACTATAGTAGAACCAATTTGATTAGCCGATTTGGACAAGGACTTAAACATATAGCAAAATAACTGTTATAAAATAAAAGAAAAATCAAATAAATGTGAATAATTATAATGATATTGACCAACATCACCAAGCTCCCAAAATGTGTGTATAGGATATGATATGCTTTCATTGGATATTGAAAAAATTATCAATTGTTTTTGAAAATTATTTGCATATCGAGTTTGCTGAGAAATGTTAAGCCACAAAAAAACGCATCATCAAATATAAACGATTGTAGCACTCACCATATTTTATTTGAACTTTATGTTATTTATCGATTAAATGCCCTCTTGAATTCGTAATAGATGTCTGACGTTAACATAGAAAAGTCCAGTGTTTTATATGAAATTTAGACTATCCGTTTTGAGTTTATATCGTTTGTATAAATTTTATAACATTTGTACTTAGTTATTTATTTATTGTTGTACTCTTCATTTTTTTGTTTATTACAACTTTATTTTTATAATCCAACAATTCAATTCAAAATACTTTTCCAGATCTCTAGCTAGTGACGAAAGTATTACTACGAATTCAGAGGTATTTTCGACGAAATTCCGCACAAAAGAGAATTCGAAAGAAAACAAAAACATAAGAATGAGAAAAGAAATTGCTGCTGACAAATTAAAAAAAAAAAAGATTATTAGTTAAGCTGATGTAATGCCTAGACAACTTTCAAACTAATTCAATGAATAGCACTCATTTGAAATATGGAATATCGAATTTAATGAACAAATAATTGTAATGTAAAACGATGGATTTTTGACAGAAATTATCGTAGCTGCGCAACAGGTACACTCTGTGGTCACGTCTGATGTTTACTTTGCCCTGTTTTTATTCTTTACAACAACAAATCACACACATTCTGTGTAGTTCGGTATACTTTACACAGAAATTCCAGATGGCGCCAGCTGTATTAAATCGCTAGTTGCGCAGCTATGGAAATTATACTCGATTGTACGAAATAAAATCAATTCATTTTGCAAAACGAAAGAAAAATACTCATTTGCAGTAAAATGAAGCGACAAATTCTGTTACAGTTTATTTTTTGTATCCAATAAAACGAATATGTATGTGTATATCAAAAATATAAAGCATCACAAATTTCATAATTTATGCAGTTTTTCTTTGTCTTTGTATTGAAAAGGAACTTGATTCTTCTAGCATTTGAGTATGATGAGGCTAAAACTCTTGAACCCATCAAAGTTTCAGTGCTCTAATGAATAACATGAATGAAAACGTCCCTCATCCATTGGATACACAGCTATAGTTATTTTCCATTCAATCATTGATCCGTTGTTTTGCCAGTCAATCCATTGTTTCAAGCAATTTGAGTGAGCGATTGGAGCATCGAATATTGAGTAAAAACAATACAAAACAGATTTACTTGTTTCACATTGTTTGTTGGTTGCCGGCTGGGTTTTTATTTCATGTTCTTTTTAGCACTACATGGAATGTAGGCTACTGTAGTTGTTTTTTTCCCCGAAATTTTTTTAATAGTCTTTAGGAGATTTTTTTGGACCGTAAACTAATTCATTTTAATATCCATAATTTTTATTTAAAATGAAGCAATTACGCCTAATGGCAAAAATGAAATGAAATCATGTTCATGTAATTCAATTTTGAGATAACTCAAATAAAAATGTTGACACTTTTTTCGTTGCCAATGTGAAATAATGTACGATGATCATTCACATTGAATGTACATTGTACATAAAACACATAAGTGAAGAATACAATATCATCATATGAATTTATTTAATTATTTTTGACAATATTAAAATGATTTATAACTAAAACTTGTAAAACAGACATTTCCAACGATTAAAACTACATTCCATGTAGTGCTCACGACAATAATTTGATGAGAAACATCAAATTAATTAAACTCCTTAAATTTAAATTTATAAGCTTCAAGAACGCAGAGCGGAGCGAAGCGACGATCTGCGTTCTGGTTTTCTGCTCACTCTGTCTCTTATTGAATTTCTTACTGTATGAAGTATAGTATTTCCATTTGCATTGGTTGTTTGTTTCGTTAAAAGATTCTATATAGAGTCTGGATGTACGCAATTTACTGCAAATTTCAATCATTCGCAATGTGTGCACAGTTGGTTCCAATGTTATCGCTGTTTTATTTCAGTCGTCGACAGTGGCACAGGTGTAACGGAGTAGCGAAGCATTGTACGATCCAAGTGTTTCCAACTGAAAACAAAATGTTTCACACAATGTTACAAGAATGTAATACTCGGATGTACTCACACATGATAACTTAAGTTTATATACGTTAAAGTTATGTTGGAAATCTTTCTTCTACTCTTTCTCTCTCTCACCATCTCTAAATTAGAGTTATTGTATTTTTCCGCTGAATTCCCAGTGCTTTTTTCCAAATTGAAGATGAGATAATAGGATTAAAGATTCGGATGCACTTAGACTAAATAGCAGAAATGACAATATTATCGCATACAGTTATGACAACAATTGGAATCAGTTGATTTTTGTTATGCTCGAAAAAAGAGTCAAGAATGATTTGGAGAGACATTACATGGCTAATGCGAATAAAACATACACATTCACAGGGAGCGGCAGCGACACAGGTAGCTCATTAATTGAATTCCCGATGAGTTACATCGAAATGCTCGAACATTGTTTTCCCCGTGGAAATATCACTGGGATGATGTTAACACATGAACTGTGCTGCCATTGCCAGAGGGGAATGAGAAGAGAAGAAAAAGTGTGCACGCAACAAGATTATGAAACAAATGCTAATTAGAATTGATAATTTATTTAGAAGCATAATTTATTCTGAGTACTTTTTCTCTCTGTGCCTTGCCAACTTCTTCATTTAGTAAAAAAGGAATTTTAATTCTGAAACCAAACAGATTGGGATTGAATATTGATATTGTGGAAATTGATTCTATGATCATCTGAAGGAAGAATTCACTTAAAATAATTAACGACTCTTCCGCTCACTACTAAGCTAATAACTCGAGTAAATATTTGCGAAAGTATAGGATGTAATTTAAAACAAGCGTGGAATGTATGTGCGTGTCCATGTGCATTTCTCTCCCTAGAGTTAATAGCACCAATAATTAATCAAATTAAACGAACTCGGATCCAATCCGAAACGATTAAACATATTTTTTCAGACAAAAATAATAATGTAAACATTGGTCCACATTTTTCTTCTCGTTTTTACACTCTCGCTTGCACACTGTCTCTTATTTATACTTTGTTTGTATGCTTTTTTTTATTAAGTTATTGTTTTTGTAAATGGTTTTCTTTTTGGGATTCTCTTCTCGCATGAACGTACTTAATTTTAATACGTAGTTTAAAATTGCGACTGATAATGATAGCATGAGCTGTCGAGCCAGTTGTCTCATACAATAAATTATCTTAAATTGACAATAAGGTGTTTGGTTTCAATTTACAAAAATCAAGTTATATGTTTGTGTCAGTTTGCGTCCAAAAACCAATTTTTTTCTTACCTTCATAAATTTCATTGCAAGTTTTGTCCAATTTTTTTTTTCAAATTTATTGAAGTTATAATTTTTTTTTCAATTTTTTGCCCGTTCTGCCATCTTTGTTAGAAGCTTCGTTGATTTTAAGGGAAGATTTATAATGAGGTCTCATAAATTCCGTTCCGATTTCGTTATTGACTTTGCAGGAAACGGAAATAGGCTAGTTTCGTACTTTAAGGAATGGATACGAATACGGAAAGAAATGGAACTGAATAAGGAATGAGAACACTCTCAACCGAATTTTTTCTCACAAATGATGAATTGTGTGCCCTGCATGCTGCCTAGCTATACTGTCATGAAATATCTATACAAGTATATTTTTATGCTCGATCCAGTCTCTGCTCTTCATCGGGATGAATATTTGAAAAATACAAAAATGCTAATAGTAATTATAATTACTATATGCGTTTTAAATTTAAATGGGTGAGATTGAGAGTGGTGTATGCTTCACATACTTTGTATTGGATAAGTAGAGTAGATTTTCAAGCGGTGACTTACCGCCGGTGAGCAAATCCTGAAATAATTTATTTTCTTGAACAGATGAACGATATACTCTTCCGCAAAGTTGTACAGTTTGACAAGATCAACAATTTCTGCGAATTTCAATTGATCTTCTCAATAAAATGAAAATTCCCAAAAAACCACGAGTGAAACATACTTTATCAAAATATAAGTCGTCGAAAAACATACACTGCTCTCAATCTAACCTAGATTTGTGGATTATCATTAAGTATATTGAATACATACAAAATACGAAGTGTGAAGTTGTAGAGCGCCGTCCATAAATGACGGCAAAATTCAGCACTAATTGGTGTGATTTCGCAACATTTCACAATATGTCGAAATCACTTACGGCTATTTACAGCTGATTTTGCCGTCAATTATGGATGGTGCTCTACAATTGTTCAAATTCTGACAATAAGCGGGTGGTATATTGTTTTCTAGTTCCTGGAATGAGTCCACTTCAAAAATAAGCATGCCATCATCGGCATAGAATTGTGCTTTGAGTGGTAGCTATATCATAAACCCAACTTATTTAAGCATTGATTAGTTAAATGCGTGCAGCTTATCTATCATATTGGAAAGATAATACAAATGAAACTGATAAAACAATTCATTCCTTTGCATGAAATCTATCTAACTTTTATTTAGTATAGATTATAAAACCGTACGACACACGTTTTTTTACTCTTTCCCTTGAAAAATTCCAAAACGACGTGAAAATAAGATTCAAATTATGAGAAATTGCATCATCACACACTAATAATGAAAAATTCTATTCCGGACAAGTCTAATTCCATGTAAAATGGCCCACTAAACGCTTTTGTAGAAGCAATTATATGTGAAAAACCATTAGAAATGGGAGTAAATGGCATGCAAACTAGTTTAAACAATAAGCTGTACACTGAAAATGGCGAATTTAATGGAACGCTTAATCATAACTTTTGAAAAGTAATGATGCAGTTCCTCCTCTTCGTAGTTTTAAAATTTCTCAAGGAAGAGTGAAAAAACATGTGTCGTATTAATTAATGTCTAAACAAAATAGAATTTGGATTCTACGCACATTTGAAAAAAAAATTGTCCACTTCGAATGTTAAGTTCAACTTGATAGTTCGAAATGTCATACAATTTTAAATTTGAAGTAAACACAACACATTGGTGGTTAACATAGATTTGTATTTAGATAAAGTACAGCAAAAATTAATGCTATACGCAGTTTTTCTCGACTTAGGTGCTCAAAGTTTGTCACGATGAAAATGGGACTGACAACATCGCCTCTACGCCAACGTGGATGCTTACTTATATTGGCTTTTTGTATAATGATGATTCCATTCACTTTAATGATGCTGCTTATAAGACCCGGTCAGTATAGTGATTTTTTTGAAAATTTTGTTACATTTTCGTAAAAAAAACTTTAAATTGCGATCATAATTTCAAAAGAATAAAAAATCGTAAATCCAGATCGATACAATTTGGTAATGGATTTAGAAAATTACCAGTTTGTATATGTTGGAACTCGAGACAATTACTGTTATCAACTTCACTTGCAACTTCCGCCGCTCATCCAACATGTTGGTCAATCATTTTGCGATCAATTGATTCAAAGCATTCACACCACATGATCGTCGTTTTATTTACCTAATAGTACTGAGTTTCCATGAGTACTACATAAATGGCGTTTTTATACACAAAGTAGCTACTTGAGTGTAAATTACGTTAGTCGAAATCGAAATTGATGAAAAATTTTGGGAGAGATGGTGGGGTTTTTCCAAGGGGGTAGTTTTCACAGTTTTCTAACGTACAAGTTTCGACGAATTTGTCTCATTTTGCACCGAGTAGTTCCGAGTAGCACCGAGTAGATTCTAGTATTGCCAAGTGTTTGTTGAGTATGAATTTGTGTCTAACCCTTTGGGTTTTTCTATTTTCATAATCAATTTAAACAATTTTCAAGTTTTTGTTCAATTTGATTTTCAAATCACGGCACACAAACTCACACAAAAAATCAACAATTTGGTTTTTATAGAAAATATTTTTCGAATTAAATAGTTTGATTGAATTTCTTTCCTCTTTGTATAGATTTATCGGCTGAACTGACAATGTCTCAGCGTTTAGCT